GCAGGTTTGATTTGCTCCAAGCAACAAGCAGAACGAAGGTGGGGGGTTACTACGGCAAGCCGATTGTGTCAATAATAGCTGGTGAAGATTCTCAGTCATCCAGGACATGGTAAATTAAAAAAAAGTTCAAGGCAAAAACAATAAAGTATAGTATAATAAATAAAGTCCACTTGTTTTTGTTGAAAATGTTTTGAATTCGTCATTATAGCCACGTTTACCCATTACACGATACAATGGCATGCTAGTACTACTCTGCTGCCATCTAGTGGCTGAAAATGGTACTGTTCAAATATTTTATTTATTTTTTTGTCAGAATGAATGAAACCAGTCATAGCTCAGCCAAAAATTGATTTATAAATATGGGAAAAAATCCATAAATATGTCGCTTCCGACTATAAGTCGCAGGGCATGTAAAGTATGAAAAAAAACAGGACTTGTAGGGTGAAAAATACGGTAAATTGGTTGTCCTTACTTTCACATTGTGTTGTGTCATTTATTTCGACCCTTTGTTGGTTTGTTGTTGTTGCTCTGGGTATTTGTGCATTTGCAGAAAACTTTCATTAGAACAGCAGCACCTGCTAAATGTCACAAACTCGTCAGAGACGTCCTGGCTGTTAGTTACGTCATCTCAGTCCATATGTGCACGCGTTGGAGCCTCTCTGGATCACAGTATATACGTCTGCGTTACAACCGTCACCTATTGAAGACGTCTCACTTCGTCTCATCATCCTCCTCTCATCTCTCATAAGCATGGCTAATAAAATGTGAAGATGGGAGATAGAACGCCGCAGAGCTTTATTAAGAACATAATGACATATTCACTGCTGTAATGATCTAAGATGAAGGGCGGAAGTGGGCTGACATCACAGGCAAAACTGTGTTCTGCGTGCCTTATTTCATTATATTGTTACAGCTGCCTTATTAGGGACAGGGATGGGGGTGGGGGGGGGGGGGGGTCACTGAAACTGATAAAGCAAGGCAATTTCAGCTGCTGTTACAGCTCCAAATTACAGTTGTACATCATGCAGCTTCCTAAACTTCTCTTACATCTCCTCTTCCTCCATGTGTGTGCGTGCTCATGTCTTCTGCTCTGGCATGCAGGGGACCTGGCTGTGGGAAGACAGGCAGCAGGTGGAACAGCAGACAACAGCCCCATCTACAGATGGACAGGTCGAAGCGTCAGCTGACGTTTTACCAACTTCATGTTTGACGTCCGTTTACTTCTCGACTACTGGCGTTGGAACGCAGGAGACCAATGTTGTGAGAGGCCTTGCATCCTGTGAAGGAATGCAGATCACCCGACACCTCATTTTATTATTATCCTGTGATGAGAAGGGATGGAGTCAAAGCTGTTTTGGTCAAACCTTGTAAGATGCTGTGTGTGCCATGTTCCCATACAATGGTAAAATTGGTTCTCTGCATTACCCCATCACACTTGAGACACACCCAGGTGGAGCAGCGGGCAGCTATGTAGGCACCCGGGGAGCAATTAGAGAATTAGAGGAGTCAAAACGCGACTTTCTGGTCCCAGGTCAGCTGCCTACCTCTACACCAGAGCTATTCAACTGGCGGCCCGGTGCCTTCAATCCGGCCCACTTCATGAAAATTGTTTTGTTTGTTTGGGTTTGGGTTCTGTTTAGTGCATTTATGATTCAATGCAATAAAATAAACATTTAAAAGGTAAGAGATCATTGTAAACTTTGGTTTATTTACATGATGATTTTAAATCGCTGGATGGTCGCCCCCCCGAGTTGTTGACTTTCAGACACTGTGGCCCTCCCCAGCAGTTCTGTTTAATAGGCCTGCGTTCCATCACCTCAGCACCTAAATGACGTTATGCACCATCTCATGCAATGTTGTGAGAACATGCGAGATGTGTCAAAACTGAGAACGTGTTGAGGACGACTGTCAGCTACTACCACACCAAACGCTGGAAAACTGACTGAATTAAAGCCGTTTAGTGCTCATGAAGGTCAGTTAACTGTGGTGGCCATCTTTAATTGATTTAACTACAAATTGTTTAGTTGTAGATATTTAGCCAAATTTTTTTTGTTTGTTTGAGCTTCTTTAAAAAAAAAAACATATGATTCGTGAGATATTTTGCTAACAGACTTACACAATTAAAGTTAGTGCTTGGAGTACGACTGAGCCATGACCACAGCAAATTTTAGCGCAATATTTGGAAAATTAACTGAATTAGTTATTTTTTGCGTTGGCGTTGCGGCCATCTTGAATGGGGCTGACTCCAAATGTTCAGTCATCGACATACTTTATTAAAATGCATTGTTGCTGGTGTCACACTTGCAGAACAATGTAAAACCAACAAGAGCTAAAATTACAGCACTTAAGCTTAAATCTTCATACATTTAAAAATGCTTTTTTAGAGTGCACTTTGGCTTTTTATCCAGCATAAAGTGTCTACCC